ACTTGTGTGTAGGGAGAGGCGCTTGGAAGATATATGGGAAGAATAGGGAACCACTCAAACATGCCAAAGAAGAGTGTTACCAAAACACAGCCATGCTTCAGGTGGGTCCCTTTCAGGAGCATATATAAAGCATTTGCACAGCTAATAAGTTGAACAAGTAGCAACCATCATATGGGTGTCTGTGCTTTTGTTCCTGCGAAGGTTTTAACCTCCTGCAAGGGTTAGCTGTGATCTGAGCGCCACATCTCTGTGGCTTGGCAGGTAGAAAAAGACAGCTAATACCTCACCACAACACTTGTGTTTTTAATATGTCGGTCTGTGTCCTACAGGGTGACCTGTGTCAGATGCACACTTGAATCCGTAGCTCTTTCCCCCTCAGCGCTCAGGGATGCATGGAAATTCCTTACTTTAGTCCTTTTCTGGGTTGGAGCCTCCATGGTGGAATGTGTGGTGCAGCCCACAGAGAAGGGACGTTTCCCATGGCAGAGAATTTGCATACTTAGCAAACCACACAAGGAAAGGTGACAAAAAAGGTACTGGCCCTTCTTAGATACAGAGTGTGAAGGCATAACCCAAATAATTTCTCTAAAGATCGCCGAGGGAATCTGAGGTGTGTTCTGAAAAGGAACCCAGTCTCTAAAGGACTCATCTAGTGCCTTACACACAAGGTACTTTATTTCCCCCTGGGTCATGACCTGTTTCATACAGAAGTAGCTCCTACATGATTATGACACTACTGGAAATCAAAAAGGCATTTATAAGTCGTCTCTTAGAAGAATTTGTCAAGTGTGAATTCTTGGTGAGATTTACCTGTCTATATGAGTTTATCTGGACTTTTGCAAAATGCATTGAACATACTTATTGCTGACTAGGTTATATTATTAGAATGAGAAAAGACGACCCCTTTTAATTGTCATAGGTAGCTGAACCCTAAAGAACAGGCAGATCTCCGTCTGTTGGGGAGGAGTTTTGTCTGTTACCTGAAGTATTTTGTGTACCAGTCTGTGATAGGAGCTGGAGGAATCACACTCTTTCATGGAGAGTTTGACTAGATTTTCTTGTAAACTGGTTACAGGTAGTTATGTTGTTGGGTAAGATAGCAGTGCTTCTAGTCCGGAGATACCCTGATCAGTGTGTGAAGTCAGTGAACTCTTGGTCAGAGCCCAGATGTCAGCAGTGCAGAGTGTGTTCTTGAGCAGCATCTTCGCACTGAACTTGTGCTCGTGCCACAGCACTGTCCAGCTCCGTGAGGACCGGGAGCCTCTCGGTTCTAGCGCTGCTTCCTGCTGTGGGGGCTCGTGAGCTGCTTCTGTGTGTGATTTTGCACGTATATATAAATATTTATTGCTTTGCATAAGGTGCCTGTGATTATGAATGTGAGGAGAAGCGTGCGACTTCAGCTGTGAAGGTGTGGAGGGTGTAGGAAGCGATGACTGCCTGGAGCTGTCTGGTGGTTCACAACTTGTCTGTTATCAGCGGTATTTTTAACCAGCTAAAGTGCCAGCTAATTGTCCATATACTTTTTGGGACGAGCAAATTTGATATATGTGTGTGGCTTTAATAATAGGCTGTGCAAGGTATTCCCCAGAGCGTTGTGTGTTTTGTAATACAAACGTAAAGGAAAAAGACACTTGGAAGGAGGAGGCACAGGAAAAGCGTCTCTCCCCAGGGAACTCTCAGCATCGCTCGGGGCATGAGGCAGCTGATTTCTCTCCATGTAATGACAGTACAATTGACCTCAGACTTTTAGTTGTCGTTCTGAAGGCAATGAGTATAGGCCTTCCACTTTGTTCCCTTTGCAGTTGGAAGCATCTCCTGGTGACAGAGATCATTAACGTTATTTTTGTAAAAGACATTTTGCAGGACTGCAGCTTTTCACCATTCTTTGTCCCCACCCCGGGTGTGTTGAAGGGCCGCTGGGATGAGCTGTGGGGGGATGGGGGGTAGGGGAGAACTTTGTAGAATTGGGCTGAGGGTTGGACTCGATGATCCCGAGGAGATTTTTCCGACCTGAAGGATTCTGGGATTCAGTAGGAAAAAGCCAGCGGTGGGCAAGTATGTGGTTTTGGGGAGAAGGTGCCCCTGGTCTGTTGCTGGCACGAGGAAGCTGTTCCGAGCTCCTCCGGAGCTCTGTTGGCAGGCAGGGGCTCGTGGCCCGGCTCTGGGCCTTCTCTGCCTGCGCAGCAGCAGCTCTCGGGGCTGAGGCAGGAGCCTGCCTCGTGCCTCTCCTGAGTTACTGCCTCCAGAAGCGGGGGCTGACTGGGGCTGGTTGCTGCCAGATGGACACCAGCTGCTCTGTCCTTCCCCTCCTATGCAGGATGGGGACAAAACACGGCGGGAAAGCCAGGAGGAGCCTGCACCCAGGCAGCACCCGGCGGCACCGGCAGCCCCGGTCCAGGCACCCAGACACACCCGGCGCTCGGGCAGTCGCCCCCCAGCGCTGGGCCCCCACTGTACCCTCCTCTTCCAGGGAGGAAGAGAAGGAATGAGATGCTGAGCAAGTTTTGTTACGGCAGGAAATGAAATGTGTGCACTGGCAGGATCTGCGCACCCGCTCTCTGGCGATTGATTATTTCAAGGCCTCGAGCAGGGGGAGCCTGGCAGCAGGTCACAGTCTGTGTCTGTGTGTCCCCGGGCACAAACGGCTGCTGGACGGAGCAGCGAGACCTGGCCCGGGACACTCACGGGGTGGGGAAGGGTCTCCCCCCCCCGGCCCCGAGAGCCCCCAGGAGCTGTCCCCAGGGCTGCTGGTGCCCCCACATGCACCAGTAGGCTGGGCAGGGGGCCATATCAGTGGGCACCCCCACCCCCCCAGGGCTCTTCTGGTGCCCCCCCGATGGAGACAAATCCACACTGAGCTGAAAGGCCACAGCCCTTATTTATTTCTTCCCTCTTTTCTTCTTTTGGTCCTTCTTCTTCTCTGGTGTGGTGTGGTTTGAACTCAGCCAGCAGCCAAGCGCCACGTGGCCAGTTGTTTACTTCCCCCCACCCCAGCCCGGTGAAACAGGAGAGGGACAAAAGAGGGAATTCACAGGTTGAACTAAAAGATTTACTAGTACTAACAGAACCAACACAACAACAGCAAGGCCAAGCAGGTGAAGGTGGTCACCGAGCAGTGGCCGGTCTGGGCCCGTCCCAGCAGCGACCCGACCGCTCCAGAGAATCCGCCACCACCCCAGAACCGAAACAGGGCGCGGGGGAGCAGCGTCCGCCTGGACACGGAGCGGGACGTGACCCAACATGGAACGCTCCAACGCAGCCCTGCCCTCAGCTGTGCTCCCCTCAGCCACGGAGAGGGAACTCCAGCCTGGCCCAGAGCAGGACAGGGCTCAGCTGGTTCCTGCGCCCGCCCTCAGCCCATGCACCTGCACTCGGTAAATGCAGGTGTACTGGGGGTTGCCCCAGTTGCTCTTCACAAGGAACTTGACATATGAAAAGGCTCTGGGAAATGGTGCGGTCTGTGAAGACAAGAGGGAAAGAGAGGCAGAGGTGTTAAGAGTGGCAGTGCAGTCAGTCCCTCCCTGCCGGCCCTGCTCCTGCTCAGGAACCAGCTCCCGGAGGCGGGTGGGAGCAGCTGCTGCCACCGGGGCTGCTGGGGAGGCCAGGGCATGGGACGGGGGAAGGCTCCTGGCCTCCTCTGCGTGCCAGCCCGGCTGGGGCTGCACCCCCCTGCCCCTTGCTCTAGCCCTCCAGGCCCTGCTGCCCACTCTGCCTGCTTCCCGCAGAGAAGGGGACGCTCTGCTGCGAGGAGAACCACCGCCTGCTCCTCAGCCCCGCCAAGGCTCTCTGCGCAGGAGCCCAGGGCCCTGTGCCCAGGGAGGAAGCGTTCACACCCCCCTGCCATGGGCTCCCAGCCAAGCCTTGTTCGTCCCCCAGCGCGTGGAGCGTACCTTCAGAGGGAAAGTCTGAATGGCCTCTTTGGTCACGTCGTAGGTGAACGTCAGGAGCAGCACTTCCTCCTCTCCATCCGCTTCCAGTCCCTTGGGGCCAAAGCACAAGGAGAGCAGTTCAGACTCAGCCCCACAGAGGGGACGTGTGCGCTGGCTCAGCCCGGGCAGGTACTCGGCCTCTCCCGGGCTCCAGCAGCCGTCTGACACTGCCCGGGGCGGAGCTCAGGCTCCTCAGGGTCAAGAACCCGGAGGTGCTTTGGCCAGAAGATGTCCCGGGAGGGATGGAGCCCTTGAAGCATCCCCCCAGGGCAGCACGGTGCTCAGAGAACAGGACACAAGCTCCAGGGAATGCACAAAAGGCCGCAGGCATGTCCCTGTCACGGTTTTCCCCCAGGGCCAGACCCAACCAGATGCGCCCGGCAGAGACTTACGAAGACAGCAACGTCTCTGGGGGCGCTGACGACGGTCCCGGACGGAGACACCTCTTTGTAGATGTGCTGCACGCTGACGGCAGTCAGATGGACTCGTGCTGGCAGCCTGATGACCACCTGGCCCTGGTGCCTTGGCAGAGGCCAGCAGTTCCCTGGGGACATATCCGGCTGCAGGCAGGACAAGAGAGCAGTGAGGAGTGAGAGTGCGTCAGGGACAACACAGCTCGTGCCGCTCGGAGCACAGGACCGGCGTGTCTGGGGGGGTTATTGCAGCTCGGAAGTGAGGCGCCTGTGAGGAGCGGACAGAAGCAGGAGGCCGCCTTCCCTGCCCGACAGAGGGGGCTCTCAGTGTTATGGAAAAGAGGAGAACACCAGTTATGAAACCACCCTAGTCAGGGCCTTACAGAAACACCTCTCTGCCCAGTGCTCAGCAGAGCACCCCCCACCCCTGAAAAGGCACCGTTAGGGACAAGTGCGGAAAGGGGGTCACCAGGGAGAAAGTCTTTGACTCAGCTGGGACAGAGGCCTGTGGGCAAGGGGCAACATCTCCGCTCAGTTCAGGCCTGTTCCCCCTCCTGAGGGGAACCGCTGATCTCCAGCAGGCCCAGCCCTGTGTCCGAGCTTTGGCTTCAGGAACGTGCCCTGCACTGCGGGCTGGAGCGGCACTGCCCTGGACTGAGGGGAGAGCCCCGAGGTCGGTCCCAGCTTCACAGGAAGGAAGGAAACCAGCACTGCTGAGTTCTGCTACAGTACCTCCAGAATAGCATCAGGTCTGGCCGGAAAGAACCACTCCACAACGCTGCAGCGCCAGTCTATGCAGCTGAAGGCCTCTGAAGTTCTCCGCATGTCAATGGCGGCACCTGTAAGGGAGGGAGAGCAGGTAACTGCCAGAGGCCCCAGACCAGGAGCACTTGGTGCTCAGACACTATTTCTGGTGCCGCCGAGCAGCTCCACGTCTGTCAGTGCTGTTCTCGCCCCCAGGCCGTGGGGGCGCCCGGCTGCGCGGGGCAGGGTCGGCATCCCTGTGCCTGGCGACCGCTGCCGCCACGGCGCCACAAGGAGAAGGTCTGAAGGTGCTGGGGGGCAGCGGGCGCCAGGGCGATGACAGCAGAGCAAAGCTGAGGGCTCGCTGCGTGGGCAGCAAAAGGTGACCCAGCCGTTCCCTTCGCGGATGCAGCCGGAGGAAGAGCCCCTCCATCAGCACAGCAACGTGTGCGCGGGCAGCGCCAGAGGCACTCGCACAGGGGCCGAGGGCAGGACTGGGAGGGAGCCCGAGAGAGCCGCTCGGCCACAGCCTGGCTCGGGGACCCCAGGCAGCATTTCAGCTGCCCCACTCTGGAGAGCACGGCCTCCTCTGGGCAGGGCTACAGGCAAGCGCAGGGCAAGGAGGTGGGGCTGCTTGTGTTCGTACCAGAGCTTTTCAGGGCCCAGTCATACGTCGTGGCACAGACTTTCGAAGGCGCTGCCTGGCTGGTGTCCTGAACTTCCTGGTGAAGCTGTGGATGAACACAGAAAAGGACCATGTCAGCAGGCAGAGCAGCGTGGCTACTAGCGCCTGCAGAGGCAAAGGGCAGTGTCAGAGGTGCAAGTCAGGCCTTGTCCACAGAGCCCAGAGACGCTCTGCTGCTGGTGTGAGCCACCAGGCCTGAGGAACAGGATCTGTGCCACAGCCACGGCCACAGCCCCGAGGTGAGTTGATGAGGGTCCCCACCATCCCGTGCCCACCCTCCACGCTCTCCAGGTCCGTCGGGAGACGGTCCCAGGCCCCACCGGCGTTGGCTGACCCCGTGAGCACACCTGGGTCTCACCACTGCCCCGGGGCCCAGCCAGAGCAGGCAGAGGCCCCGGCGTGCCAAGGGAAGGCTGCTGGGAGTCCTCCGCTGCCTGAAGCGGCCCAGATGAACTGGGACCGGAGAAGGGCCTGCGCAGCACAGCAGCTCACCCAGCAAGCCCCTGGCAAAGGCTGGCTTGCTGCAGTCAGCGGTCTGAGCCCACCAACAACCCCAAGGAGTGCTTTCTCGGGAGTTCTGCTCAGCCACCCCCCTCCTTCCCCAAAATGCAGGGTCACCTCTGCACTGCTGAGCTTCGCCTTCAGCTGAGCCACCTCCTCCAGCAGACGCTCCTTCTTTTGGGTTTGCTCTGCCAAGAAAGTTTGCCAGTTCCTGCAGGAAGACAAAAGCCGCTCTTGTCAGAGAGCTGCCCATCCCCTCTGGGAACTGTCTGAGCTCAGCAAGCAGCAGAGACACGTGTGCCTTCCCTGCTTCACACGAGCTTCCCTTCCTCGCCAGGCTGAGCAAAAGGCAAAGGCGGGAGGAAAGTACAAGAGCCCTGGCTGTTAGGAAAAGGAGTGCAGGTAGCACGAGGCCAGCCAAGACTGCTGCACAGACACAATTCCATCAGGAAACGTCTCTCACCGCAGGGTCTCCAGGCGTGCCGCACACACACGTCTCAGCTCCTGAAAGGGAAAAACACTGTGTTAAGTATCCGCTACCAGAGCTGCCGGGGCTTCCCAGGAGAGGCTTCCCTAAGAAGAGCCAGCAAAAGCTGCGGCTTCTTTGGGTCATCCTGCGTGGGAGCAGAAGAGCCTGTGACTTATCCAGCACTGTCAGCAACGCTCCCTTGCAGGAGGTGCCCGTCCCACCAGTCACTGACCTCCACCAGTCCCTCGGTGCACGTGCTCCACGCTGGCAGCAAGGTCCTGCAGTAACCACCAGCTGCAATTCACATCACAAAGAGACAGTTACTTGCCTGGGGTTGCCAGCCATGCCTGCAGTCACCTTGTCTCCTCCCTGTTGCCTTGGGGCTGGGGCCGCTGGTGCGGTAACGTGGGGTGCAGAGAGAGGACACGCCTCTGACCGGGAGCCATCCCCCCAGGCTTGAGGGCACTGCGCAGCCGTGCTCTTCACGTGTGCTCAGTGCCCCAGAGCTGCTCCCCATTTCCCCTCGCTGCTTCGGTGAGCACCGAGAGCAGGCTGCACGGGCTAGGAGAGGCACCTCTCCACCAGTCTCCCTGCACGGCCCCTCTGGGAGCCCCCAGTTCAGGCTTGTAAATACCTACAGCCTTCTCTCGCAGGCTTGCAGACTTGCACCAGCAGCCAAGCAGCAGCATGGCTGGAGACTCCCAGTCTTACTGGTAGTCCAAAAGCAAGTCCCAGTCAAGGACATACTCAGGAAGCACTTGGGCCACGGGAGTTTCCACACACACTGGCGCGGAAGGAAAGCTGGGCAGCAGAAAGCTGGCACCCAGCATGTTTGCTCATGCAAACTCACCAAGAACCACTGCGAGCAGCACGATGACTTGTAGAAACTTCTTCTTATGCGAGGCCACCTTTTGCCTGAAAAAGAGCGAGTCCTGCGTCTATCCACGAGCCGAGTCTTGAGCAAAGCCCATCATCAGTGCATTTCCATTTTCAGGCTGAAAAGCCTGTTTTGGAAGCTGCTGCTGCCAGAGACCCAACAGAGCAGCGCCCAGGAGCAACGCCATTTCCATCCGCACCGGTCAACACTGCCGGCAGCTCTTCCCCAGAGGGAGGGAGCCAGAAGCACCTCCCGAAAGGGAACGAAAACAGTCCCGGGAAGTAAAGAGGTGGAGCAAATGAAGACTCCTTTTCAGCAGTCTGGCTGGGGAATACCCCCTGCTCTCCCTGTGGCTTGCACTGGCCCTCGGCCATCCCCTTCCTCCCCATCCCCATCCCCAGCAGAAACACGTAGTACGTACATGGCGAAGATGCACATGCCCAGCAGAATTCTCCCCAGGGAGGCGAGGGGTGGATGGCAAGGCAGGCTGGAAACCGTCCCTAGGCAAAGAAACCAGATAAGATTCAGGCCTGGCTCTGGAGGTCTCGAGCATCCCCAGCCACGCACGTCCCAGCTCCCTGCGGGAGGCGGGCACCAAGTCCTACACACTCCCTCCCCGGGGCAAGGAGCAGCGCAGCCCCCACTTCTCCTGCTGCTCGGGACACGTGCCCAGAGCCCTGGCACAGCGCAGCTCTCCGGGTTCACCCCCAGCACTCCCCAGCACGCAGCAGCTCTGAGCTTACCTGCAGTTTCTGCTGCCTTCTTGCCACACCTGTTGGAGGCAGAGGCTGAAGGCAAAAAGCTCACTGTCACCTCCATCTCCATGCAGAGGGTCCTATGGGAGGGAAAAGAGATGCCGATTGCTGAGCGTCCCCATGCTGCGTGAGCCGAGGCCTCTGCCAGAGGTCAGCCTCGGGAAGCCTCCCAGGGGCTGTCCCCGTCCCCACTGCAGGGAGGGGGGGCAGCACAGCTGGGCTGCTTCCAGGGTGCCCCCCTCCCCTCCTCATCCTCTGCTCTACAGGCCTGCAGCGGGAGAAGAGGCAGCACAGGCTGCTGTGGCCCCCCACAACCACCCACCCCTCTCCCCCCAGCACAGCTGCCCCCCTCAGCCAGGCAGCACCAGCCGGGGTCTCAGCCCACCCCCCGCATCAAGGGGCTTCGCAGGCCACGGGCTCTCCTTCAGAGACCCCTGGCGCTTCCCCACGCTGCTCCGTGATCCAGCGCCCGTGTTGAGCTGTGTCCCTGCTTCCCCCCGACCTGACGCCCCGGGCAGCAGCAGCCCACTTCTTACCCACTGCTCTCCACGGGCTGGGGCTCAGCCGCGCTGCCCTCGCTCCCCAGGGAGCCCCTGGGGGCTCCTCGGCATCTCCTCAGGGGTGCCCTTCTCGGCATCTCCTCACGGGTACCCGCTCTGCTCCGTGCCCTCCGCACCAGCAGCGTGACCTGCTTGGGGCAGCAGCCGCACGGCATCTGTGGGCTCTTGCCTGAGCACCACGGGGCTTGGTGGGAGCCAGCTGTGACCTCACAGGGGCAGCTGTGACCTCACAGTGGGGCTCCGTGGGGCTGAGCAGGCGGGGAGCCCCTGGGGCTGCCCGGGGCAACACGGCCGCTGCCACCGGGCACAGAGAGATCCCCGACAGAGCAGCCAGAGCAGAACGGGAAGGGCTGGGAAAGCTCTTCTTGCGACGGAGTTACGGCGGAGGGGAGACAGCTCTAAAAATCTCTCTCAAGCCCCTTCATCCCGCTCGGCTTCTGCTATCGCCGCAGGAACTTTCACCCTCCTTAAGGTTTCCTGGCTGACAGCAGGAACAAGCAGTAGGTCTGGCCTGGCTGGCCGCTGCATCCCCCCACGCCTGCTGGGTGTCCCCTGCAGAGCTGCCCACTATGGAGAGATCCTCAGTAAACCCCTGTCAGGCAGAGGACAGAGAACTGGAGAATTAATTAGAAACCTGATCTGATCCACTGGTTCACCTCTAGAGCCATCTGTTTCTGAAGAAGGCCCTCTTCTGTGCTACTCCTGATTTCTTTAATAACACTTATTTTAAAAAAATAAGAATTGTTTTCTCTTCTGCAGCCTGTCAGAGCTGGCGGAGTCAGCAGGGACCCTGCCTCTGCTCCCACTCTGCACAGTCCCTGGGAGATAAGTGCCATCCCAGCAGGCTCCCCCGCTCTAAGCCCAGGGCACAAAGGGGTGTCCCTGATGTCCCTCCCCGCCAGGCTCCCCAGGGGCTTATTTTCCGATCAGCTCCCCTTTCACTGCAGCGGCTTCTCCTGGGACAGGCTGTGGTCAGGCCCTTTAATAACAGTTTCCTAAACATGCTCCAGGGGAACAGGAACCCTGTAAAACAGCCCGGTCCCAGCTCCCTGGAGAAGTTCTCCTGTTCCAAAGGAAGAAAAAATTATTTCTCACTTAAAGAGATTCTTTCCCTTCCCTTCCTTAAATTGATGACACAATGGAAATAAAACACGGTCAGAGTGTTAGATTTTTAAAACTACTTGATACTAATTTCATGCATACAATTGGGTTTAAATTGAAGTTGCCCGTATAATTAAATAGAACACAGATTGGATTTAAAGTTCCATTTCTGAAATTTGGAAATTCAAATTTCAACTTTTGGAAATTTCAAATTCAGACATTTCAATTCCACACACCTCAAATTCAAAATGCGGACATTTCAAAATTTGGCATTTCCAAACTCCAAATTCCAACATTCCAAACACCACACATTTCAAGTTTAACATTCAGAAAATTCAAATTTAGAGTTTGGAGATTTCCAAAATTTGGAAATTTCAAATTTCAGACCTTTCAAATTCAAAACTGACCTGGGGGCTGAGGGGGCCGTCGGGCGAGGCGCGGGCACTCGCAGACCCCGCAGGGGACGCTGGGGCCGGGGTTTAGGAAGGCGCAGGAGGCGCAGGTGCAGCCCCCACCACACTGCTGGTGTTGTGGGGAGGACCCAAGAGTCAGAGAGGGGCCCTACAGCACTGCAGAGGAAAAAAAAAAAAAAAAAAAAAAAAAAAAAAAAAA